CCCCGCCCCCAGTTTTCAGTCCCTGCAGACAACACCGGGAGTTTCAGGGGCTTTGTGCTTTCTGAGTCCTCCCTCTGAGGACCAGGAGGCCGTCCAGCAGTGGAAGAGCACCTCTAGTGTCTGCGGCCTGTTGGACACACCCTCTCACTGTCTGTCTGTTTTGCAGCATCAGCCTGGTAACTGCAGGCGTTGTGAATGCAGGCCTCTAATCATACTCTGATGCCTGAACTTGAGGAGGAAAATACGTGTGTATCTTTGTTCCATGGGAAGAACTTGAGGAACTGTAGCCATTTCATTGCCTTAATTTTAAGAAGAAAATAAACAAAAGCACAGATTTGTTTCAGTAGGAAATCAAGTCAGTGCTTCAGCATTGGTTTAGGGTGTTAGCTGCTGTGGCCCTGCGCCCTGTGGTCGTGTATTTGTGTGGTTTCACGAGTGAGGTGAAGGCTCATTCGTACCTAGCTGATCTCTGAGTGTTTCTGTCCCACCACGCAGCCCGTGGGTCTGCTCTGAATGGCTTGCTGAAGCAGTAACTGTTCTGAAGGAGCTGGATTCCCGACTCCTGCACACTGTTGCATGTGGGGCGCTGGGGCAGCAGCTCTGCTGGAGGAGCTGTCATCCTCGTTCCACAGGAGCCACATCAGTTTAAGAGATTAAAACATTCACTTTAGACCCTCTAGTTTGACTTTTCTAATCAGGAGTTTCGTGCTGCTGCCACGCTCCCTTTAGTTCTGTGTGCCAGTGGATGCTCAAGCAAACGCACAAGCAGCAGGTGTATGACACTCGGCCATCGCCGCATCGGCGTCACCCAGCACATGGACGGGGCCCAGCGCAGGCGGTCTGGGAGCGGGGCTTTCTCCTTCCGCTGGGTTCTCGACAGTCTGCGGGGCTGGCCTTCGAACGTAGTGTTCACACCCAGATTGCATATGGTCTGTGCACCTTCCCATGTGATGCTGTGCACGTCTGTATAACTCTGTGCTCTTAACAGTTGTAGTTAACAAAACTGGAGCATCTAAATTACATCCAACCTGTGCATGCACTGTTAGACACAAATTGATGCAAAGCGGAGAGCCATAGCTTTTTGAGGAACATTTCTCTTGATTTGATCACAGTTGAGTAACAACTGAGGTGGAGCAAAAGTGTCTTCTAAGAGACATCTAGGAAAGAACTAGTACCGCTCGTCATGAACTGCACGTGCTGTTAGATTCCGCAGCATCCCTTGGACAGCACACTCTTAGATTTCTCCTTTCCCCTGAAGAACCTGAGGTCAGGTGCAGCGGTCGGCACTTCGCCTTGGGCTTGGGGTTTACGTTTCCTAGCTCCCGCACGCTCAGCAATTGTGAGCTGTGTGTGTCTGTGTGCATGCAGAGCGTGTCCCTTTGCCTAAGGGCACTGGGCATGCAGCTGACTGGGTAGGTCCACTGACTGCTACAAAATCGTAATCAAGTTGTTATTAAAAATAAGGAAGAGTCGGAAAGGAATGCCTTGGTAAATAAAAGGACATCTGTGTTTAATAGCTTATCTAGACGGAAATGCGTTTGCTAAATTTGCCCAGGTGCTGCTGCAACACGGCAGTCTCATTAGACTGCTTTAAATTAAGACAATATTTACTTCAGATTGGACCAAATAATATTCAAGATCACATCAGAGAGTTGATTCGTGGCCAACTGGAAGGAAACGCCACCACCATTTCATAGAATGGGGATGCCACCTGCAGCAGCCAGACTCTTCCCAGATAGTTGCTTGTGTTTTTTGCTAATTGGATGCTTGTTTTGTCTGGGTCTTCTTTTGTTTTATTTCATCCAGTTTTGTCTTTAGCTATGGTTACTGGCTTTTCAGTTTGGTGTTTTTTTGTTTGTTTGTTTGTTTGTTTTGCTTTTTTTAAAAAATGCTCTTGGCCCAGTGGGTGTCTAGAACACTGGCTTAATCCTAGTAAACTAATTTTTACTGTTAGAACTGACTGTTAAGTAGTCAAAAGAGTTTTAAAAACAGAAGCATTATTTGTGTCCCCTTTTATGTATGTTAGAGGAACGCTGTCAAGTATCTGATGTTTCAGTGATGCTGTGTTGTATAAAATTGCTGTTGTTCATGCAGTACCTTTGACCTCCGTTTCCAGTTCACTCTGCTTGACTGTACGCTCCTTGGCCCACGTGTCTGTGAAGGCACGGTCTCTGCAGCCTTCGTGCCTTTGTGGTCTGTGTCCATGTGGCCACACCGTGCGGTTGGTTTGCATTTGTGGTCCTGGTAGGTAGAGACCTGAGACAGTATTTGACAGCATCCTTTCAACACAGTTGTTTGAGTCTTTCTGCCTCGCTGTGTCTTCACCTGTTGGGAGACAGTGGCTTGGGGCCATCACTGCATTGAGTTTTCACCTGGTATAAAGTGCGACATTTTACATGAAAAAACTCTGCGACTTTTTCAAGCTAATTTTAGGAATGTAGTCTCATTTGGTTGTAAACCATGTATCTAATTATCTTATGTTACTCTGTTCAGAGAAGATGGTTACTACCTTTTTCCCCCACAGTTTGTATTTCAAAACCAAGCATCCGTATAGTTTCCCCCAGTCAGCATTATTTAACTCCCCTGTTTTTGACTGATCTTTCTCTTTTACCAAAAATGTTCAGTCTTTGTATTTCTAATATCACCAAATTTCCCATTTCTGTTAATACTTGTACGAAGGGAGCTGGTTGTCAGTTGCAAGGATTTCAAGTTTGAGTATCAATTCAATGTCAGTTGAACCTTTAAAATACTACTTTTGTCTCTTATGGTTTTCCCGGGTTCTGTCTGCCGCCTCTGTCGTCAGAGGCGTTGTCCTCAGACCTGAGGGAGTGAGCTGTCTCTGCCGGGTGGTTATCGTTGTTAACTGCCGAATGAGATAGTAAGTGCTGAGGCAGAAGGAGCCTCAGTACTTCTTGGGGGTTTTATAAAACCGGAGAATGAGGAGCTGGTTTGAATATGTATTCTTTATAAGTTGCTGTAAATTTCTCCTCAGAATGACTTAGCTGATTTGAGGCTATAATAATGTTTTAAATTATTTTAAAATGTAAGTGGATATTTTCTGCCTTGGTAACTATGTTTTAAAAACACTGCATCTAAGACTTCTATAAAAATTTAAAATTTAAATTACATTAAAAATTTTAAAGATTTTCTAAAATTTAAAAATGTCCAACTTAGGTTTACTGCTGAGCTAAAATTGATTTGAAGTGCCGTGGTTCAAGGTGAACTTTAAACATTCTAACTTAGATGTGAGAAATGTGAGATATTCCTGATTGATTGTATGGGAACCCATGACCTACTTAGCCAAAGAATAGATTTGGTTCAGGTAAAGGTAAAAGCTTAGTAGTGGGCATCCATTCTGTTCTGAAGAGGGCGGGTGAGGTGACCCTCCTGGGCCTCACCCCCTGGAGAGTCAGTCTTTGTAAAGGTGGCCTTGGGGGTGGTGGGGTGAGGGGCTTGTGCAGGGGCCTCTGGAGCCTCACACCCAAACCCCCAAACCGACTTTGTCCACCTCGCCCACTGTGCTTTGCTCTTGGCCTGGTCCCAGCTGCCCCAGCAGGGGGAGGTTTTGTTTCGGGGTTTCTATCCCGCCTGTTCTCTCGGCGGCTTCGGAGCTGTTAGGAGCCGTCAGATCCGTACTAGTAGCTGACTTTCCTGGCCTGAGATGAAATACTGCGTCCGCATGAGGTACCTAGTGGGGATCTGGCCTCACGTGTGCTTCTGAGCCCAGGCTTCCTGGTGTGGTGGCTTTTACCACATAAAATTATGACAGATTGCAAAAACTGGTATTGTGATACTGTCTTCTGTACAAAGGAGAAAGTGAGCTTGTGGTTTAATGGTCACAAAATGTTGGCACAGCTACCATTCAGCACATGTAAAATTTTTTAAATTTATAAATATTAAAATTTTAAACTTATACTAAGACTTTTCAGTTTTTTTAAGAGACCCAGGGACAAATATACTGTTTAAATATTTACCTCTATTAACATTATTAATAAAGGTATAAAGTTGCATTTAGTTTTTCAAAAGATGCTACAATACAATATTGGGAGATAAATCACAGCGATGTATTGAGCCAGTTACAAGCTGAATATCAAATTGATAAAATTTTATTTGTATTTTTTAACCTATAAATAGGAGTTAAAATGTGTCTTTTCACTAAATACTTTTATTACATTTTTGTTTTGACCATGCGTGATTTGTTCATAGGTATTTAGACTGTTTCATGAGACTTCTTGAAGTGGTGACAGTTCACTTACCAGCCTAGGATAATTGACACGGGGGACATTACACAACCATAAAGTAATCTGAAATTAAAAACACTGAGGATATATCTGTTAAAACAGTTAAAACAAGGATTTGTTTTACCTTCTGGGAGAACCCCCGACCCTTACAGAACACCCAGGATTCAGAAGAGCACAGTTTATGTGCTATAATATTGAGCATATTTATTTCTATCTCAGCTCATGGTCTTAGAAACAATTTCAGAGTTACTAGTTAAATCATTGGACTTGGGGGCATATTTGTAGTGTGTGTTTTTAGCAGTTTTGGTTGTCCTTTTTGGCCTTTCAGGGCAAGTGGAAAAGTACCATTCTGCTGTGTGTCAAGACAGACTTTCCTTTTTACCTAATCCTAAACCTTGTAAACATACACAGTGAAAAGTTAATTTTTTAAAGAAAGAAAATGCATTTTGAAAACGTATTTACTTTAAACTTGATTTTGCTTTGAATGTTCATTGATTTGTAATGGTATTTCTTAGGTTATATTGAGACTTGGTTCCACTCCAAGGGTGGCCAGAGAACAACGAGGCGGTCTAGGAACTGAGTCAAGCGCATTCATTACTAGTGGGGCTTAGGCCCAGGCTAATCGTCTGTCCTTGGAGAGAGCCGCAGATGATTTTAAAGGTCCCAGATAGTGAAATCTGATCGTTTCTTAAAAAACATCTTTAAAATAGTGGTGCTCTTTGAAGGTATAGTCTGGTTACATTGAGTCACTTATGAATGATGACTTTGGTGCAGTGATTAGAATACAAAACATTTCTTAGACAGTAGTTTCCCAGATTAGGTCTTGTGCATTCTTTGTAATCTCAATAGCCGTTCTTTTAAAACTAAGTGGAAGCGAAGGACATACTTGGTGAAATTAATGAGAAATTCCTGCTTGGAGATTGCATGCAGTTCTAATGGCAGCATACATACCAGTTCTAGCACGTAAATCAGCGTCCTCCTGAACTCTCTCATTCTGAAACGGTTTTTAATGTCTAGCATGAGAATGAACTGAGGTAGGTCACTGATGCTTCCAGAGCTGATAAATGAAAAACACTGAAGCAAAGAGAGTTTAAGTAGGAATGTGCTAAATGTTTTTGTTTCCATAGTAGTCAGCAGTTTTGTTTTTAAGATTTGGTAGTGTTCATTGACTACTTTGCCAGGTTAATCTTCAGGTGCTCCTTTTACTCAGCCCAGGGTCTTAAGGCCTTCTGACTTGTACACCTGCTCATAACTAGACTGCCCTGCACAGTCCTTTCTGTGGGCTGACCTGGTAAAGCCATTTGAACTGGCAGAGTACGGGGTGGAGGCAGAGAGGCCTAGATTCAGTTCCTGGCTAAGCTACTTAGGGTTCACGTTGATCTCCACGGGTCTGCCATCCGAATCATAGGACCATAAATGTTAATTCCCAGAGAAAGCATTTACAGCATGGTGGTGGATACAGTATACTAGTAGATGCTCAATAAATCCCATTCTATTTAAAGGTTATTTGTAAGAGCACATTTTGTTCCATTAGATAAATGTGTCCTCACACGGAGTCTAATACCTGATAAGTCACTCACTATTTTTAAATCCTGTGGTATCAGTACAGTGCAATCTCACAGCCCTAGCCACAGCACTGCGGTGCTGCTGTGACAGAGGTCACCATGTTATTTACTGTATCTTTTCTCAGAACATTGATTAAAGTTGGTGGTTTCAGTTTCAGCTGAATGTGCTCATATTATTACTACAACAACAAAAAATCCTAATTAACAGTGATTCCCAAAATGACCCTAATTCTTTACAACTTAGCTTTTAGGAAGTAATTAAAGAAATAAAACTAGTTTCTTTACTGTGAGAAGTCACATGTTTTAGCACACTTGTGCATGTCGTGAGGCTCTAGAGGATGATCCCAATCTGCCTTTCCTCCGCTCATTTAATGGTCTCTTCCCAGAGCGTCTTACAGGACTACACTTCTCGGAACAGCCTTTGCAACATACTGAAGTTAATTTGAGTAATTTGATCACAAAGCACTCAGAGAATGGAAGAAAAACCTGAATCTGTTTTCTTGCAATTATAAGTAATTACTGGTTATTTTTAAAAAAGGAAAACTGAGTCTAGCTCCAATTTTATCTTCAGAGATCTTTCCAGAGTAATCGCCATTTCTTTTATGCACTATTTCTGAAGAGTAAAAAGATGAATGGAAATCACCTCTGAATACACAAAAGGGAATAGTTTCTAAATTGATGTTGATTTGAAAGTATCTTTCAAGTCTGGTTTACTTGACAAGTAGTTTCCCCTTCAGTGATAATAAAATTGTCTCTTAATATTTTAAATTTTTTATGATCAGCTAAAACTATTAAATTACAATGCAAATGTTTCACCAGGGGAATTTTCATTACTATGTCTGAGCAATCAGCACTGTTGGTGGAGGTGTAACTATTTGAACTTCCCGACAATTATGGTTCCTTTAATTATAAAAATAACATAGTAATACACATTACATGCTGGAAACTGTTGTGTCTCACATGCTATGAAAGCCATTGAAACTTTAAAGGCTTAAAAAGATCTGTTTCAAACCAAAAATAATTAGCTTTAACAAACCTTTCTGTTAAGTAAGCCAAGGCAGTTTCCTATGTATGGAACACTACCTCTGTAAAAAATATACTGCCATAAAAGTTGGTTACTAATTGTTTCTTGAGCCTGTTGATTTCTTTTGGCTTGTTTTATATATTCTCTCTCCTGTGCCTTTGCGAAGTTGCACCTGGTTTGGAATATATGGCTTAGTGGACTTGTCATCAGTTCAAAGCAATCAAAGAGAAAATAAATCGAGGGTTGCTGCTATAAGCCTGGAAACAGTATTTAAAATAGAAATTACGGTACTTTCAAAAGTACCGTTAAAAAAAGTTTGTAAACATTAAAAAAAATTGTATCCTCACCTTATACCAGAAAGGATTTAAAGCTACTTAGCAGAATTTAAGTTTACCAAGATTATTAAATTGGTAAAGAAATGAAGGAAAGCAGGTCAGAACATAATTGTCATCCTTGAGGAATGGAAAATATGCCACTCGCGATCTGTGACTGCCGAGGTGCAGGGAAACCTTGCTCAGTGAGTGCCTGTGACGTGCCGGGTCCTGTGCTAGGTGTTTCGAGCCCACCGATGAGTGCCCTGGACGCTGCGGGCTCTGAAGGACTAAGAGCTGACCAAACAGCATCCTACAGTTGGAGTCATTTTCATAGGGAGTGTTGTTGCTCGTAATTAGATTATCTGCCGCATCAGGAGCTCGTCTTGTTCCAGCAGGGAGACACCTGTCTGCATCTTCTGCTCAGCCTGATCTGACCTCTCTTAACGCAAACCCTGGGCTTGCATTAGCCACGGAAGGCGAGTCACAGGGGGGGAAACAGCGCCGGGCTTAGAAGGGTTTTTTCTCATGCTATCGGTTATATAAAGCCTCAATTTAACGTTTGAGTTTCTGGATTAGACTGAGTAGACTGGACAAATAGAGACTCGATTAATGTTCGTGAAACGTATTCTCAAGTGCAGAGTAGCAGACCCCCTGCTATACGCTTTAACCTTAAGTGAATCTAGTCAAAACCGTAACTATCTTTTATTACCGCCGTCCTCGGGGGCACCTGCGGAGCTCGTGCGGCCCCGACGCCACGCGGTGCCAGAGGTGGTGCGAGACCCACCTCCTCCCGGAAGCGCCGACTGGGCGGCGTGCGCACGCGCGGCTGCAGCCCCGCCCACGCTCCGGCGCGGCGGTGCTACTGCGCACGCGTCCCCGGCCCGGCGTTCCTGCCCGCGCTTCCGGCCCGGCGGTGAGCGCACGCGCGGGCGCGAGCGGCTGGAGGCGGTGAGTAACCTGGGCGGCTTGGGCTCTGCCGTGCGCCCTGTCCGCTTTCCCAGCGCGGTGGGCGGCGGTGTGGACCACGGGTCGGGCCGGGAGGGAGCTGAGGCGCGGCGGGCGCGTTGCAC